CACAACAAATCTATGCAGGATATATTAAGGCGTCTTTGTTCACACAATTAAGAAGGCGTAGAACTGATAGTGTATTGGGGGGTGGGGGTGTTTGAAAGCAGATTTTTTTTTTTTTTACATTTTACTAACCTAATCGAAACTATCAAACAAACTTCAGGCAGTTCATCTAGACAGTTTCCTTTTTGTTGAGACATTTCATCCTTCATCCAAAGGACTTCATAAGTCCAAGGAGCCACAACAAACTGACTCCCACAAGCAGCACACTTGCATAGTAGACCAACCAGTTTGCTGGTGATAAGATGGTTTCGGGGGCCCGCCCTCTCCCCCATCAACTCCTCTGAGGCAGCCATGGCCAAAGTGATACAAAATATGAAAGTTCATGCTCAATAATCCAGGTAAAAAATTCAAAGATTAGTCGTCATCTGGATCTTTTTTTTTTTTTTTTTTTTTTTTAGGTTGAGATGTTTCGTCCTTCATCCAAAGGACTTCATCAGTCCAAGGAGCCACAACAAACTGAGTTGAGTTATATTGAGATAATTATTGAGAGTTGGATCACTGAGCATGAACTTTGATGTTTTAAGCCACTTTGGCTATGGCTGCCTCAGAGGAGTCGACCGGGGAGAGGGCGGGCCCCCAAAACCATCTTATCACCAGCCAACTGGTTGGTCCACTATGTCGATGTGAGACTTGTGAGACTCGGTGTGTTGTGGCTCCTCGGACTGATGAAGTCCTTTGGATGAAGGATGAAACATCGCAACAATAAAAAAAAAATAAAAGAAACGTCCAGATGACCTGACTGAGCTTTGTTGGATTCTTTACCTGGATTATTGAGCATGAACTTTGACCAATTGAAAGAACGACTAGTCAATAGAAGCTGTGTAAAAATCAGATTTTGTTAAATGCTTTTCAGATACAACTAATACAAAAACCCGTTGGAAGTGTTTCACCTACTTTTGCGACCTGGAGGTACTGTAGATAACAGGTGGCCTAATCATCCACAACACTGAAGGACGCAGCTAAACCACTAAATCAAACTTTTAAACGTAACTCTCTTTCTGGGGCCTTTGGATAAAGCAGACAGTTGGTGAGTTATGATGCACTCATGTCCCTTTTACATGCGAGTGGCAAAGCTTAACCAACAGGTGGCTGCTGTGAATGGCTCTTTCATCTTGCTCGTCAAATTTTGTCCAGGAAGTGATTTTTCTGACACATGCATGCCACAAACAGACTGATGCCAAAATCAAATGAGAACTGAGGAGTAATGAAAGTCATGTCTTTTAACTCTGTTTTACCACCAACACGAAAACACTAAATAAATGAACAGACATCTTCTGGAACATGGTTCACTGAATTGAGACACTTTGCCTCCTCACAGCAGTGGGAGTTGCTCTGTCGGCTTCTTGCTGGATGTTGGTTTTCTTTTAAGTCGTTTACTCATCTGTAAATTCGAACACTAAAACGCACACAGTTTCTACTTTAAAGTAAGGTTCACGTCGCCCTGATAAGAGTTTCAAAACGCACCCTAGTTCTTTGAGAGTTGTGGCGTTAAAACTTTGTTAAAAAATTATCCTTAAGTGATAAACAAATAAAAAGGAAAAACACGATTTATCTTGTTTTTGGTCACCCGCCGCTGAAGGCTTGAGGCAGTAACGTTTTTGCCCGTGTCTGTCATGTGTGTGTTTATCAGTGACATAAAAAAAAAAAAAGCTTCTGGCTAAATGCAAACACTCTTTTGAAAAGTGTCTTCTCACATTCCTTTAAGGCCCTAAACCCTCTTCTTTGAAATGCTCAAAAACAAAACATGAAAATGTAAAAACTTGTCAAACCAATTACGCTGTTACCATAGGAACCACCGCATCCCATTACCGAAGGTTATGCGCCAACCTTCTTCTTGCTGTTTGTTAAACACTTTTCAACATAATCAAACAAGAAGGTAACGGTTTAAGACGGTGAGCCCACTCCTGCAGGAGGTGGTTTCACCTCCTGCAAGAAGTCTTTATTTTGACAAGGTTGTGCTGTGCTCGAGTGAGTTTCAAATTAAACTTGTGCAACTCGCTGTGAGCTAATTCACAACTTCTGCTTGTTATGCTGCCATGTGAAAACGTCACCAGAGACTCGCAGCACAACTACGGCGACAGTCAGCCACTTCGTGCACCACAGAGCGCTAACATTTATTAGTTATTGGGAGGTTGGTTGGTCGTCACTACATGATTTCTTACAAAACTCAGGGGAAAACCTGAAACTCTTGTGTGGTCCTTGTATTGTTGAACTACATCTAAATGCTGGCTCAGGTACTCTCCAATAAAACAATGAATCTTTAGGATGGACCTTTTCCAACCAGCAAAGACAAATGCACATTTATTGCCAAGTAAACCTATACAAATGACTTACCTTTTTTTTTATCAGGTACCAGAAAGTGTTAGACATAGTTAGTTAACTCCCGTCTTTAACATGTTTCAATGTTTATGCCTAATTGGGGATGCATGATGTGATAAAAATTGCAATTTCAGTACCGGTGTATACAATGTAAGTAATGCAAAGGATTGCTTGGATGACGATAAACCATTGGCTATTATATTACATCCATTGATTTTCTTCAGCTTGTTCTTGAGTAGAGTCAGGGGGGCAGCAGTTTGAGCAGGGAGGCCCAGACATCTCTTCACAGCCATCTTTTCCAGTACTACATGGAGGATTCCAAGGCATTCCCATGCCAGCTGAGAGATGGTCTCTCCAGTGTGTCCTGGGTCTTCCACAGGGTATCCTACCAGTTGGATTAGCCCAAAAAAAAACTCCATAAGGAGGTGTCCAGGGGGCATCCCTATCGGATTCCCAAATCACCTCAATTAGTTTCTCTCGGTATGGCAGAGCAGTAGCCAGTGTTTCCCCTACCATTATACAAGCGGGGCGCCCCGCCCCGTCAACAGAACCGAGCGCCCTGTCTACCGAACCCCACCCCCACCCCAAACCACTTGTCAGCACTGACATAATGCTAAACTGGCGGCTCGCAATGCAGGTGTGCTAGCTAAAAAGCTTAAGGCAGCCTCTTCCCTCATGCTGAACCCTCACGCTGAACGCAACCCCACCACTCGAAAACTGTCGGTACAAACAGCGCATGGCTCAAATGTGTGCTGTCTCTACCCCCGACACCCCCCCCCCCCCCCCAAAAAAAAAGCAAAAAACAACCAAAACACAACTGTCGGCTCATACAGCGTGCAACTGAGATGTGTCTCCGTCTCTCTCCTCTTACACACCCTGCTCTAAAACAGTAAAACTGTCGGTGCAAACAGTGCGCGGCTGTCTCTGTGTCCCCCAACCCTTCTAAAACTGTTGGTATAAACAGCGATCTGCGCAGCTTAGGACAAGTCCGTCCGTCTTCCCCGCCCCTCTCCCCCGACAAAAATCATGGACGAGATGAGTGCCCCGCCATGGCAAGTTATCTAGGGGAAACACTGATAGCTCTACTCCAAGTTTCTCCTGGATAACTGAACTTCTCACCCTCTCTAAGGGAGAGTCCAGCTGCCCTTATTTTAACGGGCCAAAGTTCATGCTCAATAATCCAAGTATAAAATCCAACAATGTTCAGTCTAACATTTAACGGAATATTCCAAGTATAATTTTTTTATACCTATACTGCATCTCAAAGAGGACTTCCTAATTAAATTAGAGTATATGTATAGGTTTGGGATGCACGATATTGGATTTTTGGCCGATATCCAATATGCCGATATGTTACAACTTATTTGGCCGATAACCAATACCAATAACAATATTTTTTCCATTTACCTACTTACAGAGACTACATAGCTTTCTCTGCTGTGGAATTAAAATACTAGATTATTCTGCATGGTCTTTGGCAGTTTGTCCTGCTACCAAATGCATATGCCAAAAAGGGGGGCTCAAAATGATGTAACACTTCAACTTGGATTATGTTTAATGTTAAATTTATTCATGGCATTTACTCTGTCTAACACAATTACAACACTCGAACTGTGCATATAGCGCCTTTTATATCGGTGAGTTATTTTAATGCAATGTCCGATATTTAAATTGATTGATAATATCGGCCGATACGATACCATACTGATAATATCGTGCATCCCTATTATATATGTGTGTGAAAATGTTTATAGATGCACAAAAAGCACATAGATTTGATCAAAATAGTTTATCCCCTTTAATTTTGACCTGAGCCCGTGTGTGTGCTCATGACTGCGTCTTCAAATTGGCAGTTATTGACACGGTTTTGGACAATCTGTTCTTGTACCAGTGTTTTTATAAACACCTTATGCCACTTGTTTTTTTGACATTATTGGCATCTCCAGATGTCGCATTAGAAAAAAAAGTTACAACCTTCTGACATCCTTAGCAAAACTCCAATGGGAGGGCAAGAATGTTTCAGAGGTGGATGGGGTTAATGGTAGATGCTTTAGGAGAGGTTCCCTCCAGTCTGTTCTGTAACAGACCTCACTTGTCACTTTTTATTTATTGCTTTATTTTTTTTGCATCAGCTGCTTCATCAAACGCAAAACAACTTGAAACCTAAAAAAGAAGGTATTTAGTAAACATGAATTTTACCATGGGGTGCAATCCTCCCACATCTGGACTCCAAAATCAAGGTTAAGAGGAAAAGTCAACTATTGGTTTCAGCTTTTGTTTGAGGACTTTATGGTTCCAAAAAGGACATTGTAACATGTGTTATATTAGTATGTGCATCCTGAAGGAGATTTGTCACTGCGATATGTGCATTAGCCTCTTGAGCCTCATTATCACTGAAATAAACCACACTAAGCTCTGATGTCCTGTGCGCCCTTGATCCTCTGTTTGATCGTCTTAAGTTTCTGTTTAATGTTCTCAGATGCTTCTCATGAAGTTCATGCTTAAAAATTTGCGAATCATTCCTACTGTCATCCTAATTGGTTTGTCTTAGTGTTTTATTTAAGCTATAGCAGTTTCAGACATTCAGTTTATCCTTTTGTTTTGTTTTTCTGTGCTTCTTGAAGGTACCTAATCCCTTCACTGGATCGCTCTCATGCTGGCTTCTATCGCTGCATCGTAAGGAACCGGGTGGGAGCTCTTCTGCAGAGGCGCACAGAAGTGCAAGTCGCCTGTAAGTATAAATATATATATAAAAAAACATGTCTGACAGACAAACAGAACAAGTGAAAGAGCTCAAAGATCCTGAGTGCATATGTGCTTAATTGCTTGCGGAGTACACAGTATGCCCGCATTCTCTTTGGCTGATTTTGTACCAAGGACCGGCCAGGGAGGGAGAGATCCTGGCGGAGTGAAAGCTCTACCTGCATCTCATTCGAGTGTTATCAACCCAGACAGCTGTTCCACTCAGCATTCTCATTAGATTGATATTGTTGCTATGGTTCTTTTTCAACTTTGCTTCATTTCAAATTGCTGCTTTTTTTTTTTTTCAAACTCTCTCTTTTGTCAACAACATCTGTTGTTTCATAGTAAAAGCGTCGCTCCCGTGCAGCACATCTCTGTAAATTCCCCCCCGCCGGTTTCAGGCCGCACAGCTTTAGACTCTTGTTAACGAGCTATTAGAGGCGTTTTGGGAATCGTCGTGGTGTATTCCACCCACAAAACTATCCTACGTCAATTATCCTGGAAGGGTATGTCAGGTTCATTGGCTTCTCCTTGTTTTGGTGACAATCGTGGGACTGGGTTGCTGTGACTGGCAAATGGGTTCAATCAGGCACAACAGAAAACTGTGGGAGGGAGCAGGAATAAACCTAAACAGTCCCACTGGTCCACTTCATTACTATTAGGCAAACATAACGTTAGCGTTAACAACTCCATCCTTCTGCATCTCATTTCTCTAGCGGTGGTTTGATTTTTACATCAACTCCTTTTGCTTCTGTTAACTTTCTCTGTTTTCTAGCCGGCACTGCTTTCTATTTATTTCTTGCACAGCCCACTGTCATTCAGCTACTCTCTATTCCTAGGTCTTCACATTTCCATCATTCTCCTCTTGTCTTGTATTGGTTGCTCATACACTGACTGGCTTCACTTGTGGGTAGGAAAGGGAAAATTTAGGACACCTGCCGAAGAAATGGATTGGGATATAAAAAGGCAGGGAGTGACTGAAAAGACAGAGAAAGGTGATAAGCTGTTTGTGAGGAAGCTGTTTTATCAAGGCAGCACAATTAGGATTGTTGAGCTACACCTCTGGAAGGGGGAAACATGGCGAGGCATTAAGAGATTGGGAAGGAAGGGGGAGGAGGACGTCACATCACAAAAACTGCAGATCAAAGTCGGGGGATTTGTAGACTTCCCAGATTTCCATTTAAGCTAAGCACCACAGCTGCACAACAAATCCAGATTACCTACTTTATTCTCTTTGAAAAGGAGCAGGAGAGACGGAAAACTAGATTGCCATCGGTACACAACCACTCCAATAATGCTGGTTCAAAGTCCCACACGTTGTCTGCATGTTTCATTTGTAGTACAGTAGTCCCTCGATTATCGTGAGGTTTAGGGACCACGCCCCCCGCGATTTGCGGAAAAACTGCGAAAGAGCAAGTCTGTGAAAGTCAAATCGCAAAGTAGGGAGGGACTACTGTATTTCTACACTGAGCTGGAACCTAATAGTGTTTATGAAGCGTTCATACTAACTGTTGTGATCCATTTTTCTTCCGTACATTTTTATGTGCAATTCATGTCCCACAGTTTTCAAGCTATTTCAACAAATCATATATCAAAACGTTCAGCTCTTTCATGACGATCCTGATATGACTTTTGGTATTGGTGCAACTTTAGCTTTTTGAAATATTTAGCCCCCCCCCCTTTTTTTTTTTGTTAAGTTCAGCTTTTTTCAGATAATTTCCACTTTTGTGCTCTTTTCTGCTTCTTTCATCCTAATTAACTTCTTTCTACTAATTTCAGCTTGTTTTGCTCGTTTCAGCTTATTTCTACTAGTTTCAGTTATTTCAGCTACTATTTAGCTGTTTTATGCTAATTTTAGCTTTTTTGCTAATTCCAAATTTTTTGCACTCGTTTTAACTTTTTTTCCAGCAGAAATTTGCTCTCTCTGCCTCCTTTTGGTAATTTGTTTTTTTTTTCTGCTTTTTAAGCTACTTTTCAGCAGTTTTTTGCTAATTTAATCTTTTTTCAGAAGTTTTCTACTTTTTGCGCTCATATCTGCTTCTTTCAGCAAACATGTTCTTTCTGCTTTCATCTGCTAGCATGTTCTACGTTTTCAGCTAGTTTTTTTTTTTTAGCATTTTAAACTAATTTCAGCTGTTTTCAGATAAATTCAAGTTTTTCGTGGTAATTTCTGCTACTTTCAGCCTAATTAACTTCTTTTTGCTAATTTCAGCTTTTCAGCTTTTTACTTCTAGTTTAAGCGTTTTCTCCTATTTCAACTAGTATTTAGCTATTTTTATGCTAAATTTAGCTTTTTCAGCTATCCACATTTTTTCTCTCTCAGCTCCTTCCACTTCTTCTTCTGGTAGTTTAAGCTTCTTTCTGCCTTTTCAGCTACTTTGCTTTTTTTTTTTTTTTTTTTTGCTCATTTCAGCTTTTTTAGCTAATTTTCTAATTGTTGTGATCTTTTCTACTTGTTTAAGCCTAATGTCGCTAATATGTGTTCTTTCTGCTTTCTTCTGATAACTCAGATTTGTTCTTCCATTTCAGCTATATTTTAGCATATAGTTTTAGCTATTTTCAGCTGTTTTTTTTAGCAAGTTCTTCAGCAATAAGCATTTTTGCAAGAAATGCAATTTCTCTAGTTGACTGTTTTTTTAAGTCGAGTTTGTTAATGTTTTTGGTGCAGCGCTTGTGTTCAATAGATAAAGCTTTCTCTGCCTTCGTGGAGCTGTAGACCTTGTTTACGCCTGCTTCTTCAGTTGCTTTTTAGCAGTCGAGTTGCGTTTGGATAGTACTAAACACAGTTAAGGACTGCCTCAGTGCGCACTGAAAACATTTTCTTTCAAACCACCTTCAGAGGTGGTTTGAATGGTGGACTCCTTTTTTCTGCATACATCAGGCAGTCTGATCGCAGCCTGAATGTATGTATGGGGTCTTCTGCTGAACTAAGGTGACCCTTTACAAACAGCAGATTGTAAGTCTCTGAGTTACAAAAAATCTGTTTTGTGGCCAGCTGTTTAGGGGATGGATGGATGGATGGATGGATGGATGGATGACCTAGCTGTTTGTTTTAGGTCGTGGGGAACCCTCCTTCAAAGCCTTCAGAGAAGGCTTATTCATATTAAGCACACATGAAATGTTACATTTAATTTAATATTTATTTTTTCATAAAAACAATTTTAATGTAATTTCTCTTACTTTCTGCTAACTACTGTGTGGTTGAGGAAGATGTTTGCATTTTAACAAATTTAAATCTAGTTATCCAATCAGATTATTTAAAATGTATGTCTCCAGGCAGAAACAGAATGAGCTCTAATTGGTTAGGACTTCACCGTCGTTAGAGAAGGCTGAAGTCAGTCGGAGTCTCTTCAGGATGAAAACATCTGTTTTGTTGTGATTTTATGAATTGGAAGGTATTGCAGAACACAGTGGGATGAGTTTTTGTCTCTTGTTTGTTTTGATTTGTTTTTAGAACAGGGTTGACCCATCGTGGTCACCATGAGTTGTGTCAATCATAGAAGAGTTTGAGCTGTGTTGTTTTATTCACCTAACGAGGTTATGTTTGTAGCAGATTTTTCAGTAAAAATCTTCAGTCTTTTCTCTTCCAGAGCTCTCTGGAGGCACTAACCATCATATGACCCTTCATTTTTCACATATAGTGTCCGTTAAGTGCTCAGGCCTAAAAATGTGATTCAAATGGCTCTGAATTGTGTTCATGTTAAAACAGTAATTGTTCAGACATTTAATTGTGTTGTCATTTCTCAAATATCGTTCAGAATACACATTTAATGGCCAGGTCTTAATACCACGAGTTATAACTGAAACACTAAAGGTGGATGTTTAACTGCAAGTAGGCTTGTCACGATAACAAATTTTATTGGACAATTGTCTCAGAAATGACTGCGATAAATAATAATGTTGTTTGAAATTTGCCAATAATTAGTAATTATTGTCAGATTTAAGAAGAAATGTTGGTAAATTTTTATGTGTAGTACCTTTTGTGACCACTGGGTGGCAGTATAAGGCTGTTTGAACCGAAAGATAGTGAGGGAGCGAGCAGTGTGTCTCTTTAAGAAAAATGGGAGGGAGGCCACTTGACCTGACATGGGCTGTCCTTTGTTCCTGTTTTTCGGTTCTCAAATGGCGGATGCTCAATGTGGTTTGAGCTCTTTAGCATAGCAGTTTTCACACAAAGCTTTTAATAAAAAAATCAGTAAACAAGTTCTCGGCTTCTTTTTGCACAGAAAAACAACTTTTTAGACGAAGGCACCGGTTTCATCCGTGAATTTTGGAGCTTCGGCAAGACAGAGGTTTGTTCCCGAGGTTGGCCTTTTAGCTTAGCTTCTCAGCTTAGCTGCTTTTAACGATCCAAAAATGCAATTTTGGACGGTTAAAACAGATTTTAAAGAGAAAAGAGAAAGGGAGGGGTCAGTGAAGAGCACCGGAGTTGAGCTTTTTCTCATCCAGTGTCTTCAGTAGAAAGAGACGCGACGAAACGATGAAGCCGATAAATGAAAATGAGGCCGATAATTTTCATTTATCATGCGATTAATTGATTTGTTGTTTATCGCGACAGGCCTAACTGCAGTTCTGAATTAGATGTTACTCAAGCCTGTTTGAATCATTGGACTAAATCGGTTTAAAGTCTGGACGAGATGAAAGTGGAACCACAGCTGAATTTGTCGATGACAGAGAGAGCTAGAGCTGGTGTATTGGTGCAGGATTTTTATTTCTCCCTGCTTAAAGATTTGAGAGAAGTGGAGAATAAAAACTGCGGGGAATGAAACAACGAATATGACTTTTACTCAATTTAGCATCCCCTTAATGTCCCTTTGTGACTCATTACATCTTGCTTCCTTCAAGCCTTTTCTTGATCTGCAGCAGAAACCATAGCAACAACTCTGCTCTGTCCATCAAAGCAGCTCAATATAACATTTTTTTAGAGCACAAGAAGATGGCAGCAGCTCAGAGGTCACGGAAAGTCAAAGAAAGAAATCAAATGTGTGTCTCTGACTTGTATGCAGCATTATAACACTCCTGCCCTACCCTCTCTCTGGTTTTTTTCTTGTTTGTTTTTTCCAGTTATGGGCAGTTTTGAAGAGGGTGAACGCACTCAGTCAGTCTCTCAGGGAGATGGAGCCGTTGTTCCCGCACCTCGCATTCGCAGCTTCCCCCAGCCGCAGGTTACCTGGTTCAGAGATGGACGGAAGATTCCACCCAGCAGTCGAATGTAAGCGTTCATTCTTTCAAGTGTGTTCTTTTTTTATTTGGGTTTGATCCGAAGAATACCTCGTCTGCTTGACTCCTGATGATGAGTGCTGCAGCTTCATTGGGACCCTCCCAATCTAAAGTTTTTCCTTTTTTTTGGTAACTTTTTTAAATGCCAAACAAACTTTTATTTATTTTTTTGTTGAAAAGCAGAACTGCTTATACACAAGAAAATTGTCAACTTTTCATGAGGTTTTCATTACTTCAGGAAATCAACATAAACTGTGCACTTTTAGATCAACACCAAAGTTCATGCTCAATAATCCAGGTAAAAAAAAAAAAATCCAACATTGTTCAGTCAGGTCATCTGGATGGTTTCTTTTTTTTTTGTTGAGAGATGTTTCGTCCTTCATCCAAAGGACTTCATCAATCTGAGGAGCCACAAGAACACACTCACATAGTGGACCAACCAATTTGCTGGTGATAAGGTTGTTTCTGGTGAAGTCCTTAGGATGAAGGACGACATGTCTCTCAACAAACAAAGACACCATCCAGACGACCTGACTGAACATTGTTGGACTTTTAGATCAACTCACCTGTTGTTGTCCTCTCTTGTTCCTGTTTCTGCCTCGTTGTCTTCTTCATTTTGGCCCAGAACCTGGAGGCAGGAGTTATTTAATGTCAGCTTTGATTGCCTGCTAGCAGGAGTTCAGCACACATTAAAGTTGTTTTTGTTGCACTTTTCTTATCTTAAAATGTTTAAAATTTAAAAGAAATGTTGCACTGCTTTTTAGCCTTGAGGGAACAACAACAATTTTTAAATTATTTTTTCCCCCATTTTACAATAATTTCAGTTGAATTCAGTTTGTAAAGATCGCATGGTTCTGTTGTCAGAATTGTACTGATTGAATTTCTAGTCGGGGTGTTTTTGTGTTATTTTTGTCACTCACTGGGTTGGAAGAATGCATCCACTATCTACTGGTGTAAAACTAAGATCAGTCTATGTCAGTTGCTGGGATGAATGGATGAACAAACAAGTTTATTTCCATTTTCTACATGTTCAGATAGAAACTTTACATCAAATGAACAAATCAAAGAACCAAAGAAAAACAGAAATGGGCTGAAGCCACACAGGCTCAAAAAGTCATAAAATCTTCAATTCACAAAAAAATGAAACGGTCTATAATTTCACAATCCTTCTAGTCAAGTTTAGGAATTACTCGTTTTTTTGTTGTTGTTTTTGTTGTTTGGCATTTACTAAAAAAAAAAAAAAAAAAAAAAAGTTAATTCCTAGACTTGACTAGAAGGATTGTGAAATTATTATTTAGTGATCTAGCGCCTCCAGAACTGGAACTAGTCCTTGTAAACGATGTAGGCGTTTCATTTGTATTATTTTTGTGGGAAAACAGAGGCTTCTGACACAACCATTATGCCTATTTAAACACTATATATGTCATTTAAAAGCTGTGGAGAAAGTATAAAGAGAAAATTATAAATATTTGAGCACGAACTTTGATGGTATAAAGAAATAATTTCTAGGTTTATTGAAATAAGCTTAGTGTGTTATTCACATGTCTCCTCTTTTAGTTGTAATATTGGGAAGAAATGTATTTTAAATGCATTTTTCTCAAATGTCAACATAAGTAAGTAAGTAAGTAAGTAAACTTTATTTATATAGCACTTATCATAGATACAATCACAAAGTGCTGTACAACAATAAAGAAATAAAAGCTTAAAATAAAATAAAAATAATAACAACTCATTGATAAAAACAGTAAAAACAGCTGGAAAAAACAGTAAAACATTTAACTAAAAGCTTGACGAAATAAAAGTGTCTTAAGCTGCGTTTTAAAAGAATCAACAGAAACGTTCACACGGAGAGACAGGGGCAGGGCATTCCACAGGCGGGGGGCTACGGCCTTAAAGGACAGGTCACCCCGAGTTTTAAACCGGGTCTTAGGAACCTTAAGAAGGTTCAGCGCTGAAGACCGAAGGGTGCGGGCTGGAGGATAAGGAAACAACATTTCAGTAATGTATTGGGGGGCCTGTCCATTTAAAGCTCTAAAAGTCAAAACTAAGATTTTAAAATTAATTCTAAATTCAACAGGCAGCCAATGAAGAGAAGATAAAACTGGTGTAATGTGAGCCCTTCTGTTAGTTCCTGTTAAAAGCCTCGCAGCAGAGTTCTGGACCAATTGGAGACGAGCGACGGCAGTTTTGTTAAAACAAGTAAAAAGGGAATTACAATAATCTAAACGAGAAGAAATAAAAGCATGAATAATCATCTCCAGGTCAGATCTGGATAACATTGCCCTCAGTTTAGAAATGTTTCTCAGATGATGAAAGCAGTTTTTTACCAGAAGCTTTGAATGTTTGTCCAAAGACATAGACTGGTCGAACAGAACACAGAGATTTCTGAGGTTCGGCTGAGAAGAGGAGCCCAGAGAACCGAGGTGTTGTTTAATCCAAGGAACTTTCTGTTCAGGGGCAATGATCAGGGTTTCCGTCTTGTTAGAATTTAACTGAAGGCAGTTGTTAGCTAACCACGCCTTAATATGTGAAACACAGTTTACTAATTCAGCTAACTTATGTAATTCTGAGTCATAAAAGGAGTGGGACATAGTGGGACACGCTGTTACGTTACAGCAGTAGAAAATGTATTTACACTAAAATATTAGGTAATATTTCTCAGGATAATCGTTCCTTCCATTATCTTCCGCTTGTTCCGAAGACGGGTCGCAAGGGCAGCAGCTGGAGCAGGGAGGTCCAGACATCTCTTTCCACAGCCACCTCTTCCAGCTCTTCTGGGAGGACTACAAGGTGTTCCCAGTCCAACTGAGAGTTGTAGTCTCTCCAGCATGTCTGGGGTCTTCACCAGGGTCTCCTCCCAGTCGGACATGCCCGAAGTACCTCCCTAGGGAGTTGCTCAGGGAGCATCCTTACCAGATGCCCAAACCACCTCAACTGGCTCCTCTCTATGTGGAGGAGCAGCGGTTCTACTCAGAGTCTCTCCCAGATAACTGAACTTCTCAGCCTATCGCTAAGGGAGAGTCCAGCTACCCTGCGGGGGAAACTCATTTCAACCGCCTGTTTCCACGATCTCATTCTTTCAGTCACTACCCAGAATTTGTGGCCATAGGTGATGGTAGGAACGTAGCCCGACGGGTAAACAGAGAGATTGACCTTAGAGCTCAGCTCCCTTTTCACCACAATGGACCAGTACAGAGTCTGCAATACTGCAAACGCTACACCTGTCAATCTCCCACTCGATTCTTCCCCCAAACCCTAAGATACTTAAACTCCTCAACTTGAGGCAGAACCTCACCCTCGACCCGAAGAGAACAATCCACCCTTTGCTAGTTCAGGACCATGGCTCAGATTTGGAGGTGATGATCGTCATCCCATCTGCTTCATACTCAGCTGCGAACCGCTCCAGTGAGAGCTGAAGATCACGGCACTATGACAACAACAGGACCACATCATCTGCAAAAAGCAGAGATGGAATCCTGAAGCCACCGAACTGGACTCCCTCTTCTCACTGGCTGCACCGAGAAATTCTGTCCATGAAAGTTATGAACAGAATCGGTGATGATGGGCAGCCCTGGTGGAGTCCAACTCCCACCCTTAAAGAGTCTATCTTATTACTGGCAATGCAAACCAAACCCTCGCACCGCTTGTATAGGAACCGAACAGCAACAGGCCCCCAATCCCATACTCACAGAGCACCCCCCACAGAGTACCTCGAGGAACATGGTGCAAAGCCTTCTCCAAGCCCAGGATCATCTTTACTATGAAAAAAATGTGTGAAAGCCAAAAAAATGAAGCATCAGACCGGGCTAAGGGCAGATCTAATCAAACAGGCATGAGGTTGGATGGATGGATGGATGGATGGATGAGCGTGCAGTCAGACAGGTAGGAAGGAGTGCTTCATGTACGTGTGTGTGTGTTAACAAGTGTGTAATCCCCACCTCATCACATCTGCATTCCTCTGCAGTGGGAGGTGACCTTGCCCTCAGTGAGAGTGAATCTTTATCAGCTCCTCTTCATCAGTAATCACACTCTGACCTAGAATCACTACGAGACAAGAGTCCAGACGTTCGTTGAAGAGCGATGCCGTGGGCAGACTAGTTGCTTCAGCTCGTCTGCTCGTGAAGCGCAGGATTATGTTTGTCGAACAGTGAGCTGTGTAGGTGGGGGTGTGGGAGGGTTGGGCACATTTACAGGTTGAGGTTACTTTTTAAAACCATTTTACATGCAGAGTCCTGCTCACACTTCTTTTACATCCCTTACTTTGTTGCGTTGTTCGTCTTCATACTTGTTTTACTTGAACTTTGATGGATTTTGCAGCGTTTTTCTCAAAAAGATTGATCTTGCTTTTTTATTTTCACAAATTTTCTACATTTATTGCCTGTTCTATAGGCTTGATTGTGCCTTTTTTTTTTCAATAAACTGGTTTAGTTTGGATCAGTTGGCTAAAGCAAAGTCATCACCCTTCAATCTTAAGAGTTCTGAAAGTCACCACAGCCACAGCAACTCAGCGGTCATTTCACATGTAAAAGTGATAGTTGTTGTCCAGGGATGGGGTGCCATTTTTATGTGTCACAAATAAAATCCGAGTTGCACCCTGACACACATTTACTGACAACCTTGTTTTACAGAAACTGGTTAAAAAGCAAAACCATGACAGCAAATTATCCCTGAGCAACAAACTAATAAAGCCAACAGACCAGAGTTCAGTTCAGTCCAAGTGTTGTTTTATTTACAGTGGGTTTATGGTTGTTTCACACAGCTCTGTTTAAAACACAATCCGCTCCATCCAGTTGTGAAGGAAAACCAAATGAACCTCAAAACCAACTGTGAAGACACCATTCAGATCAAACGAAACATGAACAGGAAGTTCACTGCTTCAAGATTTACCTTGGAGCCTCCAACACTTCAAAGCAGAGCAACTCTCCAACGAAGCTTCTTTTTGCGATAAAATAAAAGAACCCTGACAGAACTATGAAGCTCTCAGTGACTCAG